TACCAATTTGTTCTCTGTGCAGTGAAACCTCAGAGTTCTTATATAATCATATACAGTTTTAGATTCTTTTGAAAATTCTTTTCCTAAACTCTGATGACCAGCTCCAGGAATCATATATCTGTATTAATTTCCCATGCATTTAATTTTTTTTCATTTAACATACATTTTCTCTCCCTCTCGACTTCCTTTCCACTGAAAGAAAAACAAAACCTTTCCAAACAAGTATGTATAGTTAAACAAAATTAATTCCCACATAAGTCATCCCAAAACTGCACATCTTAGTCTGTATATTTAGTCTATCACATCTCTTTCAGGCAGTGGATAAAATGGTACATCATTAATCATCTAGAATCAACAGTTGATTATTCTATTGTTCAGAACCAATTCTTTAAAAGTTATTCATTTTTGTTGTTTTTGTAGTATAAATTATTTTCCTGGTTCTGCTTCTGCCTATCTTCCAGGTTTCTTTGAATCCATCTCCTTCATTTGTTACGGCAAAACAGTATTCCATTGCATCTGGATTTGTTCAACCAATTTGATCAACCATTCCCCAACTAATGAGCTTGCCCTTAGTTAACACTTCACTGCCACACATCCCCTCTCAACACACACACACACACACACACACACACACACACAGACGAACTACTATAAAAAGGTTTGTACATATAGATCCTTTTTTTCTTTCTTTGATCTCTTTGGGAAATAAGCCTACTAATATCATCACTGTGGCAATGGTATCCCTGGATATTATGGGTATTTGACTTATCAGCAATATCTGATATGACTTTCTCCACTCTATATTTTCTCTTATAATTCTACCTTTGTTAACTTGATTCATACAAAAACATTTTCATTTTATATAGTGTTTTCCCCCTCATCTTCCTTGAGATATTTGTTTTTCTAAATGAATTTTATTATTTTGACTAGTTCTATAGTTGATTTTATAAATATATCACTAAATCTATAAATTAACTTAGATGTTGGTGTTATTTTCATTGTGTTGGTATAATGCAAACACTAGAGGTGACTATCCAATTATTTAAATCCATTTTCATGTCTGTAAAGAGTTATAATTAGAGTGATACAAATATTATATAGGGACAGTTAGGTGGTTAAGTGGGTAGAGTGCAGGGCCTGGTGTCAGAAAGATTTATCTTCCCAAATTCAAATCTGACCTCAGACACCTACTAGCAGTATGACTCTAGCAAAGTTACCTAACCTTATTTGGCTCAGTTTCTTCATCCGTAAAATGAGCTGGAGACCGACATGACAAACCACTTCTGCCCAAAAAAGCCCTCCTAAATATGGTCAGGAAGAGTCACACACCATTAAAAAACAACTGAACAGCAAAAATCTTATACATATCTTGGAAGGATAACTCCAAGATATTTTATGCATTTTGTAGTTCTTTTGAATAGCATTTCTTTTAGTTTCTTTCTGTTTTTGATACAATTATACAGAAATGCTGATAATTTTGATAGATTTACCTTGTATTTTGGTACTTTGATGGTGCCATTAAAAGTCTCAAATAGTTTCTTCACTTCACTTCACTACAATACCATCTACAAATAAAGATTGCTTCCCCTCTTCTTTGCCATTGTTTATATCTCTGCTTTTGGTCTTGTGTTCTATCTAGAGCTCACCTATCTAAAACTATGTAAAAATAATAGTGGGGAGAGGAGATATTTCTGCTTTTTCTCTGATTGCACAAGAAAAAATTTCAGGGTTTCTTTACTACAAAGAATACTACTTCCTAATAATAAATAGATGCTATTGATCAAAGTAAAGAAGGCTGCTTCCCTGCCTATTCTTTTTAGTTATTTTTACATAAATGTGCACTGCCATTTGCCAAACGTTTGTTTTTCTGTTTTTTTAATAATATAGTTTTTGTTTCTAGGATTGGATTGTTTTTAAGTCAAAAATAATCATTTAACTAAAAAAAGAAAAGGAAAGGAAAAAAGATCACACATTTATATAGTGCCTACTATGTGCAAGGCACCATGCTTACACTTTTTAAAATTTTTAATCTCATATGATCATCACAACAAGCCTAGAAGGTAGGTGCTATTATGGATCTGAGGCAGAGGTTAAGTGACTTGCCCAAGGTCACATAACTAGTAAGTTTCTGAAAATGGATTTGTACTTGGGTCTTCCTGATTCGTCTTGCCACTCTATTTACTGCTCCACCTAGCTATCTGTGAAAAAAACAGCTTTCAAACAAAATACAGAGAATTCTACAGCATGGCCAAATTTGTGAAGCAAATGACTGGGAAACCTTCTGCTACACCTGTGCAGCTATTATCCCTTTCACCAATAAGGTCACTGAAGCAAAGAAACAAAACCCCACCATGTTCCTATTTTATTATCCTATAAGTGGCCTGTAATTTTAAATATTTATAACTGGAAAATTAGCCTCTGGCAGGATGTACTCAATAAACTGGATTAGAGGATCTCATATTATTGGGGGAAAAAAGTCTGCTGATCTTCCTAAAAGTTATTGAATTAAGGTAGTTTGTTGCTTACAATTTCATAGAGATTTGGAGACAGAAGTGACTTTAAAGACTGTCTAGCAACCATCTCTTTAATTTTATAGATATAGTGATAAATCAAATGGTAAAGCCAGTTCTCAAACTATAGTCTTGTGATTCCTAGGCCAATGTTTGGTTTTGGTTTGTTTTAAATAAGTTTTCACTGAAGTCTTTTGCTTTTTACATGACCATGATTTGCTGTTATCCCCCTCCCCATGCCAAAGAGCCATTCCATGCAACAAATAGATTTAAAGACAAGTATTTTTAAAGACAAATAAATTGAGGGGAGAAAACTATATACAGTTTGAACTAATCAATACATCTAAATAGTATGAAAATATACGCAATGTGTAACACGTAGTTTTCCCATCTCTGTCAAAAGATGGAGCATGTCTTCTCATTTCTCTTTTATTGAGCCACACTTGTTTTTTATGACATTCGCTTTTGATTCTTTTCTTTGTGATTGTTCTTTCTGTGTATATTGGTGTATTCAGTTTGCATATTGTTTTCTTGATACTGCTTACTTCACTCTGAATGAGTTCATACTTCTATGGAGTAATGTACCAAAATTTGTTTAAGCCATTCCCCAATCGATTTTGTTCCCAATTCTTCATTATAAAAAAGTGGTGCTATAAATATTCTGCTGTATATGGAGATTTTCTTCTTTGCCCAGGGTCACACAGCTAGTAAGTGCCAAGTGATTGGTCTGAGGCTAGATTTGAACTCAGGTCCTCCTGACTTGAGGGCCAGTACTCTATCCACTGTACCACCTAGCTGCCCCCACTTTTTTTTAAAGGCTCTATCTATCTATCTATTTTAGGCAATTGGGGTTAAGTGACTTGCCCAGGGTCACACATCTCGTAAGTGCCAAGTGTTTGGTCTGAGGCTAGGGCTAGATTTGAACTCAGGTCCTCCTGACTTCAGGGCCAGTACTCTATCCACTGCACCACCTAGCTGCCCCCCCAACTCTTTAATTTTATAGACAAGGAAAATGGGACTCAGAAAACTTGACTGACTTGGTCAAGATCACAGGATTAATTTGTAACAGATCATGAGTAAAAATTCATAAATACCAACTGCAAGGCTGGAGATCTTTTCACAATACCAGTTGTTTCTGAGACCCTGCTGAATCTATGATCCACTACACTGCTCACTTTAAAACGAGATGACTTCTTGCATGTATCTCCGGCAAAAACTGCCAGCAGGCCTTTCATTGACATGAATTTTTTTTTTCTGTGCAAACATTTGAAAATGCCTCATCATTTGAGAAAAGGTCAAAGCATAAGACAACTTCCAGGAGCAGAAATACGGCAGAATCCCACCAACTGGCTAGTTAGTCCTGACCATGCATTACTCAGACAGCAACAAATCATTTAAGTAAAATGTTTATAATTAAGATATTAAAAACTACCCAGTTTTAAATGAAGATGAAAATTCAGGCTTCTTGTATATAATCCTAGATACTAACTCAAATCATTTTGTGGGATGCTATTTTTTAAGTACACTTCTGAGTAATAACTAGATCTCTTGGTACAAGTAAAGCAAACAAAATTGTACACAGGGACTAAATCTGCAAACATATGTAGTTTGCCAGAATTTGCATAAACTATACTTTTGCTCAGGAGGTCTTATATGAATACTACCCTTCTTTCAAGAATCTTGGACCAAAATCTCCTTCAAAACTCAATCCCCTTGATGCCCCCAAAACAACTCACAACAACTTACTTCGACATCACATAGATATTCTGTTCCATCTAAAAGTATCACTTTGCGCTGCATGCTTTTAGGCTTTTTAACTATCTTCAAAGGAGATCGGGAGAGTTTGCTGGAAGATGATTTCTGAGAAAGTTTATCGTCTTCAAACTGCTGATATTCGAGCTGTCTTGAAGCTGCAGCAGCAAACTCCTGTTCCTTGTCAGTGACCTGTGAAGAACAAACAAAGGAAGTTTTAATTGCAAAATGAGAAAAAAATATAATACAGTACAACTCAGGCACAACATGGTATATTAAGAACAGATTTTTTTCCACTACAGAGTAAGCGATATTGAAAGAATATTAATTACTGACATGCAGATAGATTTATGTACACATGTAATTTTATCTAAAGTGCTTGTATTGGCACAATATAGTAATAATCATTTTATTTCAAGCATGAATCCTGAAATATTCAATAAGAAGAAAAGGATGAAATATTGACTCTAATCTTTTTCTAGCCATTATGTGATAGCATAATGCAGACCCTAAAATAAATCCTATTCATTTATATCTACTATATCCTAATTCTAATTCATTGTAATCTCATAATATATTCCTACTAAATATATTCTAAATATACATAATATGTACATATATTGCACTGTGTATATATATATAGGCATATGTACAGTCATATAGGTATATACATATATTGCATATATACACATGTATATGTACATGAATGTACATATTTGAATGCAGGACAGCTACATGGTACAGTGAATAGAGTGCTGGGCCTGGAGACAGGAAGACTTATCTTCATGAGTTCAAGTCTGGCCTCAAACACATACTAGCAATGTAACCCTGGACAAGTCACGTAACCCTGTCTGCCTCAGTTTCCTCATTCGCTAGAGAAAGAAATGGCAAACTACTTCAGTATCTTTGCCAAGAAAACCTCAAATGTGGCCACCAAGTGTCGGACATGACTGAAATGACTGAAAAACAGCAACAAAATTTATATGTATGCATATAAACATACATGTGAGTGAGTGTGTGAGTGTGAGTGAGTGTGTGTGTGTGTGTGTGTGTATACACACAAGCTCCTTTAAAGCAAGGACTATTTATTTTTTTCTTTGTTTCTCAGTGCCAGGAACATAGTAGGTACTTAATAAATTCTTGTTAGCTGACTGTTACCACATAAACAAATATGCTAACAATTTTTTGAGGTAAAGGAAACATAGGAAATTAAGTAAAGCTGTAAAACCTAATCTTTTCTGTAATTTTACCAGCATAAAAATATCTGATGACTCAAAATTAATTCAATATACTAAGCATCACTGAAATTCATCGCAAATTAATCCCCCAAGTCTGCTTCCCTTCACTATAATGAGCCAGCAAGAGAATGGATCAGATCTGTTCCAAAGCTTTAATCTGCTTTCAAATAGAAACAGACCAGTCCAGGCTAGATTCAACAGGGTACAGGAAGTCCTACTCCAACAACAAGATTCTCCTTTAAATCCCCTAAAAATCCTTTAAATCCCTGATAGACTCAATGCATCTCCCTCAAAAATGCCTTCTTTCTATTCCTTGTATATCAAAATACCCCCGCTCCAAACCACCATAACAAAGGCCAACAATTCATGCCAATTCTTCCAGTATACACGCCAAAAGACAGAACAAAGAAGAGAGGGGCATCTCAAATTCTGTATGATTTTCTTCGGTATTCAGGAAACTTTCTCAATGGTCTTCCAACATCCTGTTAAATTAAAGTGTCTCTAAATCCAAGTCACTGGAGTGGCCATTTATCGCTGCTATGCCTAAGTTTTTCTTAGGCTCTAATATAACAACAAAAAAGATTAATATTTTGGTGTCAATACTTAGCCCTTCTCTCTCTCCTTTAGAAAGTATCTCCTGCCATCTACGGCTCCTATTGAGTAGATCGTTAACATCATCATTTCATCTGTTATTTTGTCCAGGTAGAAGCCCTGATGAGTCTTTAAGAAAAATAAGGGACCAACTTTCAAAGCTGGTGAGGAGAAAAGAAAATGACATATCATTTACTTCAGAAGAATGCTTAGCTAGAGGGTTGTCCTCACCTAAAAAACCCATGTCTCACAGCTCAGTTCAATGTCTTACTATAAATATTCTGGATCCTGAGCATTAAAACAGAAACTCCAAAAGGTCTTGGCCTTGAAGCAGTTGAAGAAATAGTCTGGGAATCTTGGAATTTTGTCTACAATGATACCTGTAAGGATGAGCAGTCATGGCAAGTCAGCCACAAATAATAAGCTGGTTTAAATTTTCCCCTTAAACATTCTCCCTTCATCCAAGCAAATCTGAAGTTTTATATTTCTACTGACAAAATAAATGTATTTCTATGTGAATTTTTTTTTTTTTTTTTCAGAAAAAGCTTAAGTTCCAAGACCAGGATACACTTCCTATGGAAAAGAACAGGCTTTATCTGAGGCACAAGTAGTCATTTGACACTTTGGATGGGAGCTAATGGGAAAAGAAATTACAATGAAAGATGCTTTTTTTCTCCTTTATTCTCATTTACTTTTTCTCTTATAAGGTCATAGAAAGCATATACTCTAATGTTATGCTTTCTCTCCCCATCTTCCATTATTTCATAAGGTCTTTTTAGATTTCTTTGTATTTCTTAAATTCATTGGTCTTAAATGGATTATAATATTCCATTTCACTAATATAACATGATTTATTTGATGATTCCTCTGTTCTTTTACATTTAAGTTTTTACATTTTTGTTTGTTTCTTTGTGATTATATATAATGCTTCTATAAGAATCTTTGTCCAGAAAGTTCATTTTTTTTTTGTTGCTTTTGACATCATTTTCAGGAACTATACCAAATAGCATATTATTAATGAGTCAAAAGATTCTGATTTTTTAATTTACTACATACTGCTCTCCAAAAAGGTTGTACAAGTTTGCAACTCAACCAGTAATGAATAAGAGTACCTGTTCCTCCCCAACCCCATTAGCATTGAGTTTCTTTCCATTTTTTAGGAATGGCACCTAATCTTTGTCACAGCTGATGAGCCTCAGCAAGGAGTAACCAATGTAAGTGAAGAATATATAAAAGGGTAGTTCCTATGACTTAGGAATTTTAAAAAGTATATCTTTCCTAAGGCACGTGGCTGGTTTCCTATAAATGTTTGGTTTTATTTCTCATTTCAAGGTTATGATTACAAGAAGTTGAAGGGAGGTTTTACTTAGTTTTCTCATTTCTCCCAGCTCATGCATAAATCTAGACACTCTTCATGCCTAACAATTCAACTGAACACCAAGAAATTTATTCTGTTTCAATTAGAAAAAAAATATCTATTAAGTGCTTGATATGTGCAGAAGCATATGAACATACTGTGTGCAGAGGGTTGTGCAACCTTTTTAGAGAGTAGAATACAATAAGTTGCTCTTTGATTCATTAATTACATTTTTAGGAATATATCTTGAAAGTTGTTGTCAAAACAAATATCAATTTTCTATTCAAAACCTTTATAATAGCATTATATGTAATCACAGAGAAATTAACAAAAATACTAACAACTTACGGGTCCAACAATAGGGGAGTGATCCAAATAAATTAATGAAATGGGACATCATAATCCATTTAATATTAGTAAAAATTAGTTCTTAGATAAGACATTGTCTTGCCTTCATAGAATTTACAGACTAGTTGAGGGACAGTAAATGAAATACATGCATAAATGTAATATTATAACTTTTGTTAAAAAAAGATTCAATATGAAGGTTACATTTGGGGGGTTGATTTGGGGTCTGGTGTGTTTCATTTGTTTTTAAAGCATAGGCTTTCTGTATTAGCAGGAACTGAGACCTAGCTGCAACTCTTGTGAGGAACAAGGCATGTGAAAGGCTTGCATGTTGTGGGTTTGGGGTTAAGGAACCACTGTTTGCTCACTTACTGCTGGACTAGCTCTCCTTCTGAAAATGCTATTAAAAAACTGAGACTACAGGAGGTAAATGATTGGGAGCCACAATGGTGAATTTCTACAGGGGGGAGGAGCCAAGTGGCAATAGGATATGACATAAGCCTGTTAGAAACAGATGGCAGTGTATATGAAAAAGGTTGATGTGTCAAGGAGTCAAAGCAATGACAAGAGGAGGGGGCCAGCCAAAAAAAGCAACATCAAATCAGGAAAGACCTCTGTTGGAATGTCTCCACTGATATGGACAAATCACTTAGCCTCTCTGAGACTCAGTTTCCTCATCTGCAAAACAGGAAAAACAATGTTTGTAGCACCCACCAAACAGGGTTATTGTAAGGATAGAATTAAGTAATATTTATAAAATGCTTTGTGAATTTTATAATGCTATGCAAAGGTCAGCTATTGTTATTATCGAGACAGTCTGGTGTAGTGGATAAGGAATTGGCCTCGGTTAAGAAGAACTGGGTTTAAGTCTTGCTTCTAAAGCAACTTACTGAAAGCTTAGGAAAGGCCTTAACCTTAACAAGTAACACTACAGAGAAGGTTTCTGATCTCCCATGGTAGAGAAGTTTCTCACCAGAAATTCCCACTACTCATGAAATCACAGGTACAAAAAAAAAAAGTAATAAAATAAAATTAGTATTAAATCAGATCAGGTGCCACCTGCTACAGCAGGACTTTCCTAAGCCTCTCCACTACCACTGATCCCTCTCCCAAATCCTGGTGCAAAATATTTTGTAGATACATTTTGTATTGACGTATCTGTGCACATGCTGTTTCCATCCCTATACAGGTAAGCTCTTTGAGGGAAGGAATTTTTCATTTCCCTTTTTGTATTCCCATTGCCTAGTCCTGTGTCCCGTACATAGTACACACTCAATAAATGCTTGGTGAATCAAATCAAATTGGGTTTCAAGGTACCCAGGGCAGAAGTGGAGCTGAACAGAAAAACAATGAGGCTTCAGGAAAAGATAGTAGTAATATGCTTCTTACATTTAAGGTCAAATCAATAGGAATGAGAAACCAATAAGATGGCAGATACAGTGAAGAGGCATGTTGGCATTGAAGCACTGGCCTTGATCCATTTAGGCGACAGAACAACATGAAGATTTAACCCATCTGTAGGTATTAAATGGAATGCTGGATGCTGTCACTTTCTAAACATCTATGCTAACTGCTCTTAATCCTTGATGTATTCCAATCATGATGGGGAATCTCTAGAAACATTTTGCCAATTCCAAACATTGCAAGAAGATGGATGCACAGTTCCTTCCAGATGTGTTGCTGTTAATATTAGACTGAATATGAATTCTCACAGTTGGCTTCTCATATTTATTTTTAGCTCAATTTAATCTTATACTCTTGTGCTGTGACTTCCTGAGTGTTTCAGTGATACAATCTCTCTATTTTGAAGTAATACATATACTAACTCTTATGCAAGCTTAGTAACTGTCAATTGTGCTAAATTCTTTGCCAAAGTTCTTTCCAAGCTTACAACATCATCACTATCACGTGACTATCTGAAGTACCCATAGGATTCCAATATGGAGGCTTTAAATCAAAATTGTCTTAAGAACCCACTTGGCAAGTATAACAATATTTAAACACATTCAAAACACAGGTATAACTTATTGTCCTCTCCTTATGAATATTCTCTCTTTTCTGAGTTTTTGTAACATTGATTCCTCCTAGTTCTCTTCCTATCTGTATGGCTACTTCTTCTATCTATGTTGCTAGACCAACATCCATGCCCTGTCTGGTACCTGTAAAACTCTGTCCGGGACCCTCTTCTTTTGTCTCTGTACCTTTCTCTCACATTAATCTCATCAACTCCCATGAATAAAATTGTTATTTCTCTATGGATTAGATTACTCTCAGATCCATACAGCCAGCACTCACCTCTCTCCTGTGACCCAGTCTCACATTCCCAGTTGCCTAATGGACATTTCAGACTGGACATGTCACAAATATCTCAAACTCAACAAGTCAAAACAAGCCTCATTATCTCCTCCTACGTTCTCCCGCCAGCCCACCTCTTGTCTTTATTTCCCTATTTCTGTTGAGGTCACCATCATCCTCATTCTTGCAATCACTCAGGTTCACAAGCTTATTTATCCTCAACTTATTTATCCTCAACTCTTCCCTCTCCTTCATCCAATATGTCAAATCTTGGCAATTCTATCTCTACAACTCCTCTCACATCCATCTCTTTCTTTCCACTCTTGTGGCCCCCACCCCTAGGTGTATACACACACACACACACACACACACACACACACACACACACACACACACACACACACGTCTATATAAAATAAGTGTTCATGGAGAAGACGGAGCTACCAAAAAGCTTCTGACTCGATAGTTTCTTGCCTGCAGCGTGGCTAGACAAGATACCATGTCCTAAAGGACTCAACCTGTTTATGCCTAGACTCACTAGAACTGGAGCCCCACCGTCCCGTTGGATATTTGTTTCACCTGGCCCATTACATGAAACCATGTTTCACTTTAATCTACCTTATCCTGCCCCAATCTCTCTGCTGACCTCCAGTCTTGCATCTACAACTATGTTGTTAGACATCTCAAACTAGATGTCCAGTAGACATCTTAAATTCAACATGTTCAAAACAGAATTCACTATCTTTCTCCTGAAACTCTCACTCATAGCTTCCCTATTACATATGGAGTACAACAATCCTGTCCCAATCACTCTGCTGATCTCCAATCTCACATCTCCACCTGCCTTCCAGACATCTCAAACTAGATGTCCAGCAGACATCTTAAACTCATGATGTCGAAAATGGAACTCCTATCTTTCCTCTAAATCTTTCTTCTCTCCTACCTTTCCTATAAATTAGAGGGCAATACCATCCTTCCAGTCCTTCAGGTTCAAAACGAGGCTGTCACCCTTGACTCCTCACTATCTCTCACCCTCCATATCTAATTTGTTGCCTAAGCCTACTGATTTTACCTTTGCAACATCTCTCAAATATGTCCCCTTTTCTTCTCTGACACTGCCACCATCCTGGTGCACATTTTCATCACCTCACTCCAGGAATATTGCAATAGTCTGCTGGTGGGTCTGCCTTCTTCCAGTCTCTGACCACTCTAATCCATCCTCTATTCAGTCACTAAAATGATTTTCCTAAAGTGCAGGTCCAACCATGTCACCCCCCTACTCAGTAAACTCAAGTGACTCCCTATAGCCTTCAGGATCAAATACAAATCTGTATTTGGTGTTTAAATCCCTTTTTAACTTAGCCTTCTTCTACCTTTCAAGTCTTCTTACACACTATTCCCTGCCATATACTCTTCAGCCCAGTGTCACTGGTCTCCTGGTTGTTCCACAAACGAAACACTCCATGTTTTATTCCACGCATTTTCTCCAACTGTCCCCCATGCCTGAAAGGTTCTCCATCATCTCTGCATACTGTCTTCCCTGGCTTCCTTGGCTTCTTTTAATCCTCAACTAAAATCCCATCTTCTTCAGGAAACATTCCCCAATCTCTCTTAACTCTAGAACCTTCTCTATTTCCTATCTATCCTTTACATAGCTTAGTTGTACATTTTTATTTACTGGTTGTCTCCTCCATTAGAGTGTTATCTCCCTGAGTGCAGGGGCTGTCTTTTGCCTACTTTTGTAACTACAGCACTTAGCTCAGTGCCTGGCACACAGTAGGTGCTTAAATGTTTATTGACTGACTTTTTCTTGCAGCCATCTTTTCACTTACATGCTTTCCATAGTGCACTCATACCGTCCAATCCTTACCTCCACCGAGTTTTTGATTTCTAGAAGCATAATCAAATCAATACTGCCACTGCTCTTGGATAGGATATATCAATCTACTCCCTTATGGCTCTACTCACCATCCCTATAATTCATCCAAATATAATACTCTGCCCTGGCCACCATTCCTCTATTTATTATCTCTTCCTGTAAGAATGTAAGTTCCTTGAGATCAAGCACTGTCTTTGTTTTTATTTTTGAATACCCCATGCTTGGTCCAAGATTTGGAATGAACACAGTAAGTCTTCATTCATTCATCTTTTATATTTTATGATGTTCAAACAATGACCACCAAAGAAGTTCTGAAATACAACAATAAAAATGATAATAATAAAATATCCAAAAGATAAATTCTTAAATGATACACCTGGGAGAGGAAAAGAGAAAGTCTCAAACCCATTTTTGTAATATGCGGTACAACCTGTTAACTTATACAAATAGGGGGAATTTTCCTTCCTATCAAAAGAAACACATACAGGAGTCAGAAGTCCAGGTTTTTGGTGGAGTTCTTGTTGATTGATTGAATGAATAAGGAAGAAAGTTTGTGAAATGTGATTTTTTGAAGGCTTTTAAAACAAGATATATTTTTGCCTGCTGGAGATATGAAGAGAATGAACTTTGGTCCCTCATAGTTTCTAATTTTAAGATAACAAATCTTCTAGGAAATATTTAAAATAAGCACAATAAATATTCTTAATTCATTTTTCAGGGGGAAATGACCCATTCAATTATGACCTCTCCATATTTGTTAGGTAGCTAGAAGATGCGGTATGGGGAGCTGGTGGACAAAGATGAGAAACTTTTGAAGAACTGCTGTTTACTGAATTGAGACTGACCTCTTTTTTCACCGGGGTGCTATGTGCTGCTGCTGCAGAGAACTGCTCCAGTGCCTGCTGATGTTCCTCCCTGAGAGGCTGTTCCGCTGGCTGCTGCTGAGCCCCAGCTTGTCCCTGCCGTCCAGAGGCTTCTTGGGGCTCTGGCTCTGGGTCCTGTTTCGATTCAGAGTCAGATCCAGATTCCGTAGTCATGATTGATTGTTCTGCAAGAAAAGCAAGAGGACCCAACTCAATACAGTTTTCTCTCGACTGAAATGGAAAAAGCATGAAGATGCTATATTAGATAGGAAAAAAGAAATAATCAAAGGAAAAAATGAAGAAATACTGAATATTCAACATAGGGTTCTGTTTCTATAGTCTAACAATAGACTGATCAAATTTATTAAATGTATTACACTCATTCCATTCATTTACAGCCATGTGAATGTGAGCCATGAAAATTTTAAGATTACGATGAACCTATAGGGAAAGATTACAGACTGATGAAGATGATTATGGGTTTTGTTCTTTACGAACTTTTTGCTGTAAAACAGTCAAAGTCTAATATTAAAGTAACAAATCATCATAATTAAACAATTAAAGTATACACTCAACTTTCTTTAAACAAATTTGACTCATCAGCCAAATCAGTTATTGCCTATGAAGTACCAATATGCTGTTCCCTCTCTTCCCTCCTTGACATGGCACTTTTGAGAGGGAATGAAGAGAATGGAGAAACAGGAAAGCCCTGCTAATGCCCCCAAACTTCTTTTGATTAATCAATTTTGATTTGTCCTTGTTGAAGCATACCAAAGGTTAAAACCTGGCTTATTTTCTATTAAATAAAAGCTAGTTTAGCAGAGCTTTCCAGTCCCATTCAATTGTTTCTCAAACTACTCACTTATCATACATCTGCCTTCTTCCTACCTCCGATGGGAATATCACAGAGCTACTGCTGTTTAGTCGTTTCACTCATGTTTGACTCTTCATGACGCCTTTTGGGGTTTTCTTGGCAGAGATATTGGAGTGGTTTGCTATTTCTTTCTCCAGCTCATTGTACAAATGAGGAACTGAGGCAAACAGGGTTAAGTGACTTACTCAAGGTCACACGTGTCTGAGAGTCTTTCTGACTCCAGACCCACCACTCTATCCACTCTGCCACCTACAGGGCTATTGGCTCTACTCCAAAGTACCTCCTATCCCATAAGCCATAGGTAGTTAACCTCAGTCCATAAACTTTTTAGAAAATATTCTGATTATTGTATTTCCATAAGTAGTTTCCTTTGTAATCTTGCATATTTTATTTAATGAGTTTTAAAACACTGTTTAAAGAAGGAATCCATGGGCTTTACCAGACCGCCAAAGGGAACCACAACACAAAAAAGGTTTATGGCATCGGCCAAAAATAAATTAAGCAGTTAATTAAAGTGAAGGCGGGCATGAATTCTCCCTCTGGAGTTTGGGTCCTTTAGATTCAAATCTAAAATCTGACAAGAAAGGATATTTTAAATGTATCCATCACTTTTCAGCGTCTTGTATAACAACTCACTTAGCCCCTCTAGGTCTCAATGTGTTCATCCACAAAATTAGGTTAGATTTGATGATCTCAGAAGTCGCTTATTCTCCCACAGACAGATGAGATGAATAAACTTCAGAATTGGAAGGGACCCCAGCGGCCTTACGGTCTAACTTATCCTCAAAAGGAATTCCCATTCTCATATTCCCAACAAGCAGGTATCCAGACTTTACTTGAAGACTTCCAGTGAGGGGAAAATCTACTTTTCTAGGCAGCTCATTCTACTTTGAGATTGACCTAAGTATTACCCAAAAAGTCCAAACAAGTTTGCCTCTTTCCAACTTCGACCTGTTGCTCCTGGCTTTGCCCTTTAGGATCAAACACAGGCAACAAATCTAATCTTTCAGAGGAATTCCCTTTTAAGTACTTGAAGGCAGCAATCATGTTCCTTTAAGTTTTCTCTTCCTCAGGTAAAATGTTCCCATTTCCTTCTGCTGACCTCACAGAACGTAGCCGATCACGATGGCCCTCTTCTAGAAGGGTCTAGTTTATGTCTTCCCTACAATGCAGCACCCAGAACTCTTATCTGCTTTTCCAGATGTCTTCTGACTAGAGAAGCAGACAGCAGAAAAGACTTCCTTATTCCTGTTGTTCAGTCATTTTTTCACTCATATTTAACTCTTCATGACCCCATTTGGAGTTTTCTTGACAAAGATACTGGAGTAGTTCGCTATTTCCTTCTCCAGCTCATTTTACAGATGAGGAAACTGAGGCAAACAGAGTGAAGTGACTTGCCCAGGGTCACACAGCTATTAAGTGTCTGAGTCCAGATCTGAACTCACAAAAAAGAGCCTTTCTGACTTCAAGCCCAGCACTCCATTCGCTGCACACTCTAGTTGCCCCCTTATTGCCAGATGCTGCTATCCCTCTCAATAAGTTCAAGATTATATTAATTAGCTTTTTTGGCCGCGACATCACAATACTGACTCATATTGAATTTGCAGTCCATTAAAATCCCCACATCTTTTTCATACAAAATAACCCTGCCTCCCCCATCTTGAAGGAATAATTTTGTATAATTCTATTCTGAGTTAATGGCATTACCATATTTACTTACATACACCAAAGAGTCCATGATATGATCAGTATGAATACCCACTCCAGTGACACAGTACTTCTTAATACGTAAGACATTAGAGTTAATATGGCTTTATTACACAATCTGCTTTTTTTAGATAAATATGCCCAATTAACTAAACATGTTTAGCCCAAGCCCCCACAAAATATACCAGGTTAAAGTGCAGAAGAGACAATGATCACAAAAAAAGTAATTAATCCTGCCATAACATTTCATTCTCTGTGTAAGTTTTTTCCCCTGCCAAAGCTACAGGTACAAGTAAGATCTGGGTCCATTTTGTTGCAGGAAAAGTTTTGGTTCTCTCTTAGAAAAAAAGAGATGAATACTCTGACACTTTGGAATTCTTGGTCCATGCACTTAATCACACCAAAATTTGTGCATTTTGTTTTTGCATCTGTAGTCAACACAGCATAATAAATCTACTGCTTTGAATGTAACATAAATATTTTGAAAGTTACTTATGTAGGATATAACCTCTGAGAACTTTATATTTTTCTCTAGCCTTCTCAAACCTTAAAGCATGTAAACCTCTTTGTAGAAAACTAGGCAGTATTCAATGAATCCATTTTGATGATTCAATTCAAATACCAGTTGCATGCCTACTATGAGCCAGACACTGGGCTAGACATAAACTGGGGGAGGGGATGTACCACTCCCCCCACATCAATTACCATAGTTAATAAGATATTCTATGCCCTGATACTTTTATCAGGAAAGAATACTTCTGAGTGACAATCTAATATGTAAACTAGACATAAACAATTCCTAGACACCTTTATTGAATAAATAAATCAAAAGGATAAGCTGGATATGAGGACTTAAGTGCTTCTAGCCATTGAATGACATAGACAATAAGTGAGTCCAATTGCTGCTTGCATCCGGGCATTAGCAGTTAGCTAATTAGATATTTTAAAGGGGGGGAGGGGAGTCTGACCAAAAATTGGAAAACCAGATATTCCAAATGCCTCCTTAGAGGTCCCTTCTTGCTAATAAGCGGAACCACATCAAGAAGAGGATTTGTTTCAGCAGGTATAGAAGCAGAGAAGACTGTGCCAATCCCCTATAGATATCACCACCTTTGTTTGTGGGTTTGTGGGGTTTTTTTTTAAATCTAATGGCTTCTAACTGCTTCTGATATCAAATTTAAACTCTAGATTGGCATTTAAAGCCCTTCATAATCACCTTTCTGGGCAGATTACACACAACTCCTTTTCACACACTTTACATTCCAGTAATGGTCTTTCTGTTTTTCCATGAGTAGTTCTGATCTATATCTGGTCACTGGACCCAGATGGTGTCAGAAGAGAAAGTGAGGCTGGTGATTTTGCACAGCCCTCCCTCACTTAAATCTAATTCACTTGCATGTCAAGGCACCATCTTTCTGATGTCATCAACCTCTTCAAAAACAAAGGACAAAGATCAGCAACAATTCTGTTCCTCCTACACAATATTCCACTTCCCAACTCTAGGCACAAAATGAACCCCATGCCTGAAATATCCTCCGTTCTCACCTTTGCCTCTTAAAATTCCCAATTCCCTTCAAAGATTGGCTTAAGGGGCATCTCCTATATAAGCCCTTTCCTTATCCCCCAGAATAGAATGCTCTATCTCATAACTTTGTATTTATTTTAAATATACTTAGTGTTTAGTATAAGGACATATGTTATCTTCCTTGATAGAATTTAAGCTGCAGGTGGGCAGAGACTGTGGCAGAAATGTTTAATATTCAAATCACAGAGACTGAGATACAGGAACAGGGGAAATGATAATATTCATGGCCTCAAGTGTCCATATCTAGACATGAAAGCAGGGGTAATCACAAGTCTGGACCAAAATAGATAAAATTAATATCTAAAATAAATTTCATTTATTTTGTTCCAGACTTATGATGTTATTGATGTAGGGAGTCTTCACTGAGACAACTACTTCTACCACTGCATATCAACAATTGTTCTCTAATTTAGTATGTCAGAGAGTTAGTGGTTTTGCCACAGAGCCAGCCTCACAACTGAAATGTTGCCAGGGGTTGAACACAGATCTGCCTTCATGACTCCAAGGCTGACTCTCTGTCCAGTACAGCACACTACCTATCAGAGAGCTTAATACAAGCAAATAAATACAAACTCATGCATACCATGGAGACCATGAGACACGATGCCATGACGGGAATTATTTAAAATTCCAGTCTGGGATTTATTAAATATTAGTGGACCTTATTTAAAAAAAAAAAAGATTATTGTTGTTCTTACTTCATTTTCAAAAGAGGATCAACGATTTCATAGGGTGATGTCTTGACTAGAGTGTGAATTGGATTTAGGTGAGGCAAAGATGCACAAAGTCATCAGTCTCACTCTCACTTCCCAGAGTCATATAAATCCAATGGCAGGAAAAAAATCAAGACGACTGGCAATGGCCCAGGAAGCAATGGATGAACTTGGCATCTTCACTTCAACTGCCTTCATGGCTGCTGGAACAAATTGTTCTCATCTGCCCATTCTGCCTGGGGGGAGTCTTCACATGCTTGGGGTAGACTTCTCCCTAACTTACCAATGAGTTTCAAGCCTGCTGTA